TGTGGGCGTGGCTGCTGCTGGCACAGGTCACGACCTGCGAGGAAACACAGACACACGAACACACAACAACACACACCAACATAGAAACACTCGTGCGACAGGGCGAAATGGTTTTTGTTCTTGAAACATGATTAACATAAAATTAAACGATCCGAAGAAAGAGGCAATTGCTAGGGTTCCTTCCCAGTAAATTGCTTTGAACCACCTGCTGTCATTACTTTAAAATTATTATATTATTATAAGATGATATTAGAGTAAATCTAAGGAGTAAATTCCAAAAAAAACCTATACATTTTTAAGATATGGTGTTTCCATTACAATCCGTCTTATCTAAAGAAACGTGTGATTATTTTCTCACTATACTATGATACCCCATCCCGAGTTTTCTTTATCACAAGTGTCGCCTAATTGCTAGCGAAAAGAAAAACTTTGTTTATTATAATTAGTGGACAAATACACAGAAAGTCCCAAATGAGGGGTGGGTGTTCGAGTGTTTTTGGGGGGAGGGTTCCCAGACGAAAATCCCACAAGGAGAAAAAAAAAGCAATACCAAATGAATATCTCAAGTGGATTCGAGTGAAAAAATAGAGGGAATCTAAGGAAAATGGCCCAAATACACTGGAAGACAAGCAAAAACATTTTTGTTTGTAACTAAACTATTATGAAAATATTTACTCGAGTATTTTTTGTACGCTAAACCAATTAACATTTTAAGATTCTATGAGAAGCTCGCAAATTGACCACTAGAAGCTTACGTTTCCGTTCGATGAAGTTCGGGGTGCTCAGTGTAAGTGACAGTAATAAGCAATAAGTAAAATAAATGAAGAAAATCAAACCCCGGCGACCGCTGGGACCGAGAAGAAGCAGAGGAAAAGAGCTCTACAAGTAAGCAAACTTGGGGCAGAAAAAAAAAATAAATGTAGTCCTTGAAATGCTTTTAACACAAATTACAAACAACATTTAATTGGGTCGAGTGCTGGGGTTTTCTAGAGGCTCTTCTTCTGCGAAGCTTAACTTTACTGACCGAAAGCGGTTACTTTTCTCCTTCTATTTCCGTCCTTTGACCATATTTTATTTAAATACATATTCCGTGAAAGACTAAACCGAGTTTATCTCTTCCCTGGCCGCCACTTTCCACTTTCCACCCACTCTATTCTACACTTTTCTCGCATTTTCCGCCACCTGCGAGAATTTTCTTTTGATGAAAGTTGTCAGAGCAACAAAACGGAAATTTAATTACTTGAAAATTGTGTAATTAAAGTCACTTTCACTGGGCAAACACAACCTGCAACCCCTTCGCTAAGCTTTTTTTTCTTCAACCATTTTCCTATAATTATCATCTAGCTTCTTCTTTATCGTTTAGCTTTTGGCATTGGAAAATCTTTGGCAAGGCTTTTGGGCAAATAAAGTTAGTTTCTTGTTTGATTTAATAAGTTAATTTATTCGCCATAAATAGGAAAAATATTTTAAAAATTAAAAAAAAAAATTTTTTTGTAGGGTAAACATTTAATTTAACATTTTTGTATAGATAAACATATTCGGCGCTATAAGTCCAAGAAATCCTGTTGTGCCAAGTGCGAAACGGGTGGATGGGTGGATATTGGATGATATGGGGAGCATAGGGGCTTGAAAACTTAACGACAAAAACAAGCGCAAACGCAAACGCAAACAGAAAAAGCGAAACAGCGAGGAATAAGCATCACTCTGAGTGGTGCGGCTTCTAGAATTTCAATGAGGGGCGGGGAAGTGGGTGGTGGGTGGTTTTTCTGGGGTTGCGTGGGTGGCTAAAACTATTGTCCAAGCTGTTGTTGTGACGCAGTTGTGTTGCCGTAGTTTTTATCGTTGTTGCCTCCCTTTTTCAGTTTTTTTTTTGTTTTTTTTTTTTTTGGTTGTTATGTAGCAACAGTTTTGGTCTTGCTTTTTTTCAGTTTTGTGCCCTGCCATGTTTTACTTAATTTTCTTTTTATTTCCCGATTCGGTTTGTTTTGTCAAGCGTAGTTTTCTGTGTTTTTGTTTTTTTGGTGATTGTAACAAAGGCAACCTGTGGCATTGAGTGGGAAAATTCAACAAAATACATATATATAAAAGAGCGAGGGCAGGCGAAAGGGGAAAAACTAGCAATAATGAAATATATTCCGTAATTGGACTTTTGCCAAACCGACCCGAACCTCCTTATCCGAATTTCCTACACCACTCCCCATATCAGAATATCAGATGACGTCGCTGGCAAATCAAACAAAAGCTGAAAACTATTCAAGTACACTGCTAAAACTAGGGGTTATAATATATCTGAAAAACGGTCAACTAATTTAAAATTATTTTTCAACAAAAAAAAAAAGGTTTTTTGTTATTAATTGTTTCTCGAGCTAATAGAAAATATACCACAAATTTTAAATATTTTTTTCTTACTTTGCCCACTTTTCTCTGAGTGTGCTGCGGCTGGACTAAGCTGGTTTTTGAACCTAGGCGATATTTAATACGCCTGCCGCGTGCCCAAAACTCCAGATAACAACAAAGCACAAAGGGAAGGCCTAATTAAATAAACAAATTCCCAAACTAGGCGACAAGGGAGGCAAACAGAGTGCAAAACTCAAGTGTCGCCGCAAGAGTCAAGTGAAAATGGAAAAGTGTGGGGAGGCGGGTGAGGCGGCAAGGGGCGTGGCTCTTCTCCTGTGACTGTGAATTACTCACCAGACTTAAACAAAGAGCCAGTCGGCAGTCAGCATAGATAACTGTAACAAAGGGAAACCCGAAAAAGCCGAAACAAGAACAAAGGTACAAGAAAAGTGCACAGAGAGAAATTGTGCATTGTGTATTTAAAAAATATATTTAAAGGGGCCGTTTTTAAGCAAAAATAATTTGTTCTAAGAAAGAAAAATGTTTAATTAATTCGAGGAAATATTTAGAAAGTTCGTTTTCATTTCTTTATGTGTACTTGCAAATCCACAATAGGTGAAGAAAAAGAAGAGCCAAAAGTCCTCAGATAATGCTAGAAAAATGGTTTGCATTTGATGAAAAACGACCAAATGCCAAGCGTAGCAATTGCAGCTGCAATTGACCACGAGAATTCGTCATTAAATGGACGAAGCTGGAAAAGTGAGAGGGAAAATTGGGGGAAATTGTCTGGTTAGTGGGGGGAAGAGGGGGTCTGAAACTGACTGCTTAATTGCTATTTTGGTTTCGTTTCATGTGCTAATTGTGCACATGCTATGCAAATTTGTTGCTCCCTTGGCCTTCTCGTCGCCTCCAAAAAAGTTAACCAAAAAAGAAAAAACAAAAGTGTTTATACCATGTGAGATATCACGATGTCTGTTACTAAATTAACTCAATTTTAAATTAATGAATAATTTAGCTTTGTTTTTAATTACAATATTAACAAGTATTTCCTTTTTTGCTTTGAGAGCTTGAGAAACAAATTTTTCACTTAATTATAGAGAATATTTCTTTACAATTATAATTGAAAGGGATATATTAAAAATATTTTATAAAAATCATTCATTTTATAAATGTCGCAAACATTTCCCTTTTCTTATCTAGATAAATTCATGGCACAGGCAAACAATCTGTCAGTTTTTATTTTTCGATCCATTTTCCCCCCGGCATTTTGAAAACTAAAATTTCTTTTTACGACCAAAATACATGAAAACAATTTGCGAGGAGAAAAAAAGCCATGAAAAAACCGCAGAGAGCAACTGCAAATTGAGTGCCAAAAAGGGGGATGCGGGCGGGAAAATGGCGACTGCGAGATGGCGATGACTAAGACAAGGAAAATCGAGGGGGGGAATAGGGGGCCAGACTGGATAAAAACGAGCTGCTGTCCCACATATAATAATGCATTACGGCCCGTCGTTATAATCCACGAAAATGCGAGCAAAATAAATAAAGTGGCAGCAACAAAACTACAAACTACAAAAGATGTGGGTGGGAAAGTGGGGTGGGGTGGGCTGGCTGGCGGATAAGTGGGCGGCAGACGAAGGCCGAAGGGTCGTCTTGGATTACGCTACTCCATTCCGAAAGTGCGCGTGTGTGGCTACAGTAAATATTGCCTTAGGCCCATCCAATATTCATGAACTTCTCGCGAACTCTACACAAACTACATGTAGCAGCAGTATGCAGTTCCACTTACAGATTGCTCTAGTTCTATAACAATGGAGGAACTTTCGTTGAATGGGGGTTTTCGAAATTCAAAGTGACGGATATTCATTTGTCAAATTAGTTTCTCGCTTCTCAAAAGTCAAAAGCTGTCTCGTAAATAATGGAAATATGCATCTCGTTGAACTCGTAGTAGAATTCCCAACAGATTTTTAATATTTTTAATAATTTAAACACTACTAAAAACACGATATTTTTTCACCAAAAAAATCTGTATTTTGGCCAGAACAAAGAAAATAATCATCCAACCATGGAATGCCGTATATCGTTGAACTCGTAATAAAATTCCTATTCGATTTGCATTAAAACCTGGACAATTTAGTTTTTGGCCATTTTTCGCAAAAAATTGTGATGGTACCCCTTATAAAAAATCAGAGAATTGGCCAAAATTTTATTTTTTTAAATCAGTCCGAAAAGTGATAGGGATCAATTAAATACCTCGTTGGCTGTTTAAAACAGTATGTACTTTTTAAATAGGACCATTTTTGGCCAAGATATCGCAAAAAAACTGTACTAAAAAGTCATATTTTTGCCAAAAACGAAAATCCTGATTTTTCAATTAAAAAATCTGTATTTTGGCCAAAGCTAAGAAAATAATGATCCAACTATGAAGTGTCATACACCGATATTCTCGTAATTAATTTAGGCCCCCAAAAATCGAATCTTAAATATTATATCATATTTTAAATATGCATGTATATTTTAAACAGTTTTACTTTGTTACTTTGTTGTATTTTTTTGAACACAGCTGTACATAAATTCTAGAAAATTTCAAATTCGTCGTGGGGAGTTTATATCTCTTTTGAAAATTATTGCTAGTTAAAAATATATGGTGAAAGTCTACTTACGGATAGAAGAAGAAGAGAAATGTGGTTAAAAGCAGTACAATCCAGGCGAAAGTCGCAGGAATGTAGCGCGTTTTCACATCGCATTTGGGCATTTTCCTATTTTCCTATTTGTTGGTACGCTGGTTGTTGTTGTTGTGGTTTCAGTTGTTGTTGTTGATGCAGTCTCTCTTTATTGCTGTTTTGTTGTTGTTGCTCTCGGCCAATGTTACAATGCCTCTAGTTGTTGTTGTAGTTGATTCGCTTGTTGTTGCAATGTCGTTGACCGTTTTTTTTTCTTGGCAATGAAATGCGTTTGGTTGCTGTTGTTGTTTTGCTGTTGTTGCCGCCGATGATGTTGCTTTTGTTGTATTTGTTGTTGCCGCTTGATGACGTTTCTTGGCTTGGCTTTCTCTCTTTCTATCTCTCTCTCTCTCTGTGTATGTTTTTTTTGTTTTTTATTTTCATGCGGGAGGGGGCGGGGCAGAGAGAGAGGGGGGCGGGAAACGAGCGAGACGGCGAGACGAAGCGGCGACGCGTGAAACGGGATCGGCGGCGTCGACGGCGGCAGAGGCAGCGACGCCGGCAGCGCGGCTTTCAGATTCGCGGGAAACGGAAAATCGGGGAAATCGGGGAAAAATTCAGCTTCGACTTTTCAAAGTTCTGGCTTTTGAAGCGGCTGCTATTTTGGGAAATCAAAAATGAAATCGAATAAAACGGATTAGGCACACACATTTTGAAAAAAATAGATATCACTTGGTTTTGCACTTGGAAAAAAAAGTGTCACATTTTGAATTTGCTAAAAAAACATGCACTCGCACACACGCATTTAATTTAAATAGGTACCTAAATAAAATTAAAATAGATTTTCACGCGGAATGAAAGCCCAAACATTCAATTTAAACTCCTAATTTTATATTTTAATTTAATATTGAAATAAGTGCTCCAAATTTCAAAATATATCTCGCTTTCGCTGTTTACTTTGGTTTCAAATTCCTGCCACTCGAGTTGTTTACTTTATTTTAAATTTCTATAATTTATTCCAATTTGTTTGCCTTTCTCCCTCTCTTCTGCTCTCCTTCTCTCTCGCACCAAAGAGCGATTCTTGTTTTCAGTTCGGTTTTTCGCAAAAGTCCTCTCGATCTGCCTGCTAGTACTTGTATTAGTGTTAGCCGTACTAATCGCACACATGCTCGAAATTTATATCCAGCCGAAATAAAATCTAGCAAAAAAAGATCGTTGACTTTCCCTGGTTTTTCATACAACAATTTTCATTTTTCATTCGCCTTTTTCGTGTTTCCCCACCTTTCTTCGTTCTCTTTTCCGCTGCTTCTTCTTCTTCTGCCGCACACACACACCACACACAGGCACACACACTCGCACGCACGTTGTTGCTGAAACGTTTTTTGTTTTTTATTTCGGCGTCGCCTGCAATTCCATGTTAATTTTCTTTCCCGCACGGCGCACTGCGAACATTTAACTGGGCACTTTTCCGGTCTTGTGCGATTTTTCTCTCGGCCCACAGGGCGGCGGGCGTTCGGATTACGAAAAAATAAATAAAAAAAAGCGGAGCGTACGCATAATTTCGTTTCGTGATGACCAGAGTAGTGGTGGGAGAAACGGCGATGTTTTCATCGCTGCGATGTTTAAATTTCCAAAAACATCGATGTTTTTTGCCGCAATCGATGTTTTTGTCCCATCACCAGGAAACGTAACGTAAGCAAACTTAAGTGTCAGTTTTAAGTAAGAGGAGAGAGGGAGAGCGGCATCTATGTTTTCCGACGACAGTCGATGTTTTTGTCCCATCACCAAGAAACATAAGTGTCAAAACGTAAGCAAACGTAACACCGGCTCATCACCAATTTTAAAGAAAAACATATCGATATCGCAGGTAGTTTCTGTATTTATATACCACTTCCAATGTTGATAAAAGTAAATACCGCGTGGATTCGAGTTGAGTTGGAATTGATTATAAATTAAATAACAAATTTCTTATGCATCTCGTTTGCCTTGTTCAAATTCAAATCAGTTCAAGTTTTGCGCCAAAAAACTCGAGCAAAACAGGCCCACAGGGTGATTTGTTTTCAGTATTTACAGCGTTACGTAGTATATACCGAAATAATACCAAGCATTAGCACGTACACACACCCATCGCCTATCGATAGCACGAGTCGACATCACGCCTGCACATATCGATTGCTTTTTGTTGTTGTAAAATTGTAAAATAAAAACCATTTGCAAATTTTGCCTTAAAAAACGAATAAAACCAGCTTTTGGCGAACTTAAGGGCCGCAGCGACCAGCGAACGCGCAGGACACAGTATTATTCAGCACTCGAGGGCAGCGGAGAGGAGGAAGCGAGCGCAGGACAGCCGGGAAACGCGGAAAACACTTGGCGGCTTTTCGCGAGACGCCGACTTCCGCAGAGGAAAAGCGAGGAAAGCGAGGAAAACCGAGGAAAAGCAGACATGTCGCGAAGCGTGCGGGCGGAGACGCGCAGCCGGGCGAAGGATGACATCAAGCGGGTGATGCAGGCGGTGGACAAGGTGCGCCACTGGGAGAAGAAGTGGGTGACCATCAGCGACACCACGATGAAGATCTACAAATGGGTGCCCATCGCCTCGGCCAGCGAGAAGAAGTCCAAGCTGGAGGCGTCGCCGAACTCTGCGGCCAACCGCCGTCCGCCCACCGGCTCGCAGGGGGGCGTGGCGCCCGTCGGCGGCGGCGGCGGCGGCGGAGGCAGCGGCAGCAAGAGCGACAAGGAGAACTCGCAGAAGGGCACGCCCACGCCGCCCCAAATCACGCCCAGCTACCAGGGACTCACCGCCGAGGACTCCAACACCTGTAAGAACTTTTGGGGGTCATTTACTGTAGCAACTAGACACTAGTAACCAGATAATGGGTCTATTTTTGGAAGATTTGTTTAGGATCTTCTGATTTTAGGCTTTAAAACGGCTACTGTACCGTCTAGGAGCCCTTTTCGGACCTTTTAAGGTCATCCATTGTGGAAACTAGACACTAGTAACCAAATACTAGTAACCAAATACTAGTTCCATTTAAAGGATTTGTTTAATAAATTAAGATTTTAGGCTTTAAAACAACTACTATAGGAGTCCTTTTAGAACCTTTTAAGATCATCCATTGTGGAAACTAGACACTAGTAACCAGATACCGCGTCTTTATTTCAAAGATTTGTTTAGGATCTTTTGATTTTAAGCTTTAAAACTACCACTATGCAGACTAGAAGCTCTTTTAGAACCTTTTAAGATCATCCATTATAGAAAATAGACACTAGAAACCAGATACTTGGTCTCCATGTGAAAGATTTGGTCTAGAAATTAAGATTTTAGGCTTCAAAACTACCACTATGCAGACTAGGAGCCCTTTTTAGAACCTTTTAAGATCATCCAATTGGCAATTTTATGTCACATATCTGTTCCACATCTTAAATTTCATTTAAAACCCTTTATTAAAGGTTTTAAGACACCTAGTTACCTTTTGGGTTTCAACAAATTGTAGATTTTATGTCACATATCTTCTCCACATCTTAATTATTCTTAAAAACCCTTCATTTAAGGTTTTAGAGCACCTATTAATGTAGCTTAGAGCACTCATAACCTTTTAGGTTTCACCAAATTGTACATTTTATGTCACATAACTTCTCCACTTCTTAGATTTCCTTCAGATACCTTGATTAAAGGTTGTAAGGTCACCAATTCGCCTCTAAACACCTAGTTTACATACTATATAAACAGATATTCGTAGTTCGATCGTCAAAACACATGTTTACTCTGTCTAATTCATGTTTATTTCCCTTATTTCTCATTAATCCATCAGAAAACTAATCTCCCTCTCTTCCCGCAGGTTTCTCCGTCGTGTCCGACAGCCAGGGCGCCGACTTCGTGTCGAGCATGCCCTTCTCCGAGGACTCGAACTCGCAGGGCAGCGATGGACCCGTGAAGCGGCTGAAGACGAGCGACTAGCCAAACATTCGCAGCCACAGCGCCTACAGCAGCAGCAGCAACTAACTAAGAGCCCTAGTTAAGTTAGATTAGCACCGACAGCAGCGAGAGATCGACGATGACGACGACGAGAGTATCTGCCTCAGCCCAAGACTTAAGCAATTCTCCTACTCTAACAGTTTACGACCGGCGATTGACGCCGCCGAAAGCCCCATTCAATCATCATTGCGGCGGAGTCGGCTGCCGAGTCGATAGGTCCATAGCATTAAGCGCTCAATTGTAGCAACTTATTTATTAGAACGGCACGCGAATCGATGTCCTGCGAGAAAATAGGGGGTTACTTTCAATTTCTATACGATTGGACAACCAGTAGTAAATAAATAAGTGTACTAACATTTAAAACACACATTTTTTTCACACGAAATTGGCTCGAACAGGATTTGTACTTATCCGCCACCTGATTTACCACGTCGCCTTTAAACGCTTTTCTACGCATTCAGTGAATGCAACCGACTTGAAATCAAGGCGTTTAAAGGTGAATAGTGGTGGATTTCAGGCTGCGAAAGGGTTATCAAATCAAAATGAAATTGAATAGGATAAATCACACTTCCCACTATAAATTGTGTTAATGTATAGATACACAAAAACCTAACCAGTAAACCTCTTTGTAGCTTAACTTAAGATAATTACCAACTACCACGAAAAACATGATGAAAGCGCACTGTTTTTTTTTTTACATTTTTTTATGATTTTTCTTTATTGAATGTTTTAGTTTTCTTCATCTTACAATTTTCCCCCCGTATGTATAATAATAAAAAAAAGGTTTATTCTTTCAACAAATAGTTTTTCATTTCATTCGTAGTTTTACTCTTATTATGTTCTGGTTTTTGTTTTTGTTTTGTTTTTCGTTATCCATTATGTAGCTTGACATTAAATATACAATTAACTTCACATATAGCGTTGTATATGGCCCGATTGGCGTATACAGCTTTAGTTTCTTTCATCTTTCACTAAAATTTATGCTAAAAACACGCTTAAATGAAGGGAAGCACAGATTTTGCACAGAGAACGAAAATGAAAAAAATGCACACACATTACGACTTTCGACGAGAAAGATAAATCATAAATCATAAATCATAATACAATTCATAAATCGATGATATAATTAAAAAATAAAATATTTATATATTTATATATATATATTATATTGTTGATGTGTAAAAAAACACGCGCGACAAGTTTCAACTACACACACAAAACGAAAAAAAAATAGAAAAGCAGATTGGCTTGCGCGATGACCAAAATAAAGGGAGAAAGGAAAAGCTTCGCTTTTCTTTGTTTGTTGCACAGTGTAGGCGGTTGGGTTTTTTGGGGGGTTGGGGGAGGGGATTGCACGTTTTGTAATCATTTTTGGAATGTATTGCGAATTTTGAATCGAAGAAGCGAGAAGCCAGGATTCTGATTCTGGATATCTAGCACTTTCCTGCGTCCTGTCTGTGTGTGTTTGAATAAATAATTAAATTAGAATTATCATAAATAGACATATGTATATATGCATGTGCGGGGAATGCTCGGTTTCTATCCTGGATTTTTGTTTTGTTTTAGTTTTAGCACAAAAGTGTTCTCTTTCGCCTGTTATACATTTAGTTTCACACATATATATCATTTGTTGTATAGTTTTTAGCTCGCTTTTTTTGTTTGTTACGTTTTTTTAGAAAAATATATAGAAATCCTAGCTGGGATTGGGATCCCCTAATTGCCTTGTGTATACATATAGATATTTTGTTTTGTCCGATTTACATACATATATAGTTAATATTGTCATTTAGCTTTCAAAAAAATATACTTTTTGCCTTAATTTTGTTTCGTTTTCATCGTTCTTATCGTTTTTGCTTGCTTTTTACAATTCTCCTGTTGCGCAAAAGTATCTTGGTTAGCAAAAAAAGCTTTAGTTTCACACAAAAATACAAAAAAAAAGTACAGTAGGCTACAAAAGTTGGCTTTACAAAAGTTGCTGTGTGTTTAGTGTTTTTTGTGTACATTTATAGTTTTTGTTTTTTCTTTTTTAGTAATTATTTAATAATAATCGCAACAGTTTGTTGGTTTTCTCTTGTGGGGGGTTGCATATGTTTCTCATTTTTTGGATATGTTTTTATTGCCGTCCCCTGCCCCCGAGGACCTCCTTCTCCGCCTCCTCCTCCTCCTTCTCGTTAAATTCCTCCTCTCTGTGGGTGGTGGTGTGTGGTTTCTTTTGGGGTCAAGGCTAGACCTTGGTGGTGACCTTGCCAGCGGTGGCTACCTGCCAGGATTTGTGATGTTTACTACTAGAGCGTCCCTGTCCCTGCTGCTGATGTTGCTGCTGCTGCTCCTTCCTTTGCTTGACCAGTCTGTGTTATGTCTGCAGCGGATAGCTGTTCTCCGGATGCTTCTGCTGCTTCTGCTGCTGCTGCTGCCGGCGACAGCTGGCCATCGCAACTGCAGCCGATTGACGGGCTTGATATCAGCACTCGGACTTGTCCTCCTCCACCAGGAACTGGGTGTCCTTGCCGGTGTCCGCCGAGGGGTCCAGCTCCCTGGTGCGCAGCTGCAGCTGCGGCGACGCCTTGTGCGTGATGCTGCTGGGCGCGATGATCGCCGAGGCGGGCTCCGTGAAGGATCCGCCCGCATGGTGGCCCATGGCCTTGCCCTTGGCCGACGGTTCGCCGGGCACATCGTAGATGCCTAAAAAGGAAGCAAAAGATTGGATGGATTAGTTACAGTTCATATATAGTTTTTACGGATCTAATCTAATTTATTATAAACTATCAAAACAACACAGCTATAAAGTATGCAAAACACAAAAATCGCTAAGAAAAATCAAATTTTCGATAAAACAGAGCAGTTTTTTCGCTAAACCAAGGCAAATACTGATTCAAAGCATGGATTGTCATACCTTTCTGAACTCGTTATTTAATTTCCTAACGATTGGCATTTAAACCTTGACAATTTTTTTATTTTTAATTTTTTGCAAAAAATCATGGGGTACCCCCTTATAAACAAATTAAAAATTGGCGAAAATTTTATTTTTCTAAAATTACACGGAAAGTTTTATGGATTTATAGCAAATTTTGTTATCTGTTCAAAACAGTATGTATTTTTGATGTAAGACCATTTTTGGACAAGTTACAGCAAAAAAACCAAAAGAAAAAATTCCAATTTTGTCAAAAACTAAAATCCCGAATTTCCAAAAATAAAAACAAAACCCGTTTTTTCGCTATAACAAAGCAAATACAGATTTAAAGTATTGATTGTCATACCTTTCTGAACTCGTTATTAAATTTCCTAACGATTGGCATTTAAACCTTGACAATTTATTCGTTTTTAATTTTTCGCAAAAAATCATGGGGTACCCCCTTATAAAAAAATTAAAAATTGTCGAAAATTTTATTTTTCCAAAATTACACGGAAAGTTTTATGGATTTATAGCAAATTTTGTTATCTGTTCAAAACAGTATGAATTTTTGGTGTAGGACCATTTTTGGCCAAGTTACAGCAAAAAAACCAAAAGAAAAAATTCCAATTTTTGTCAAAAACTGAAATTGCGAATTTCCAAAAAAAAACCAAACCCGTTTTTTCGCTAAAACGTTGCACTTTTTTCGCTATAACAAAGCAAATACTAATTCAAAGTATGGATTGTCATACCTTTCTGAACTCGTTATTAAATTTTCTAACGATTGGCATTTAAACCTTGACAATTTATTAATTTTTAATTTTTCGCAAAAAATCATGGGGTACCCCCTTATAAAAAAATTAAAAATTGGCGAAAATTTTATTTTTTCAAAATCACACGGAAAGTTTTATGGATTTACAGCAAATTTTGTTATCTGTTCAAAACAGTATGTATTTTTGGTGTAGGACCATTTTTGGCCAAGTTACAGCAAAAAAACCAAAAGAAAAAATTCAATTTTTGTCAAAAACTGAAATCACGAATTTCCAAAATAAAAACAAAACCCGTTTTTTCGCTATAAGCAAATACTGATTCAAAGTATGGAGTGTCATACCTTTCTGAACTCGTTATTTAATTTCCTAACGATTGGCATTTAAACCTTGACAATTTATTCATTTTTAATTTTTCGCAAAAAATCATGGGGTACCCCCTTATAAAAAAATTAAAAATTGGCGAAAATTTTATTTTTTCAATATCACACGGAAAGTTTTATGGATTTACAGCAAATTTTGTTATCTGTTCAAAACAGTATGTATTTTTGGTGTAGGACCATTTTTGGCCAAGTTACAGCAAAAAAACCAAAAGAAAAAAATTCCTTTTTTGTCAAAAACTGAAATCCCGAATTTCCAAAAAAAAAACAAAACTCGTTTTTTCGCTATAAGAAAGCAAATACTGATTCAAAGTATGGATTGTCATACCTTTCTGAACTCGTTATTAAATTTCCTAACGATTGGCATTTAAACCTTGACAATTTATTCATTTTTAATTTTTCGCAAAAAATCATGAGGTACCCCCTTATAAAAAAATTAAAAATTGGCGAAAATTTTATTTTTTCAAAATCACACGGAAAGTTTTATGGATTTACAGCAAATTTTGTTATCTGTTCAAAACAGTATGTATTTTTGGTGTAGGACCATTTTTGGCCAAGTTACAGCAAAAAAACCAAAAGAAAAAAATTAAATTTTTGTCAAAAACTGAAATCACGAATTTCCAAAATAAAAACAAAACCCGTTTTTTCGCTATAAGCAAATACTGATTCAAAGTATGGAGTGTCATACCTTTCTGAACTCGTTATTTAATTTCCTAACGATTGGCATTAAAATCCTGACATGTTATTTTTTGGCCATTTTTCGTAAAAAATTATGATTTTTGTCCAAGTTACAGCCCAAAATCGATATGAAAAATCAAATTTTTTGCCAAAAATAAAAATCTTGATTTTCCACCCAAAAAAAATACCCCTTATCAAAACTAATTCTTAAGGATCGGCTTTATAGATCTAGTTATAGCTGTTCATTTAGACTCACCCGAGCCGTTGCCCATGCCTGGATCGGCGGTGGTGCCCGACTGCACTGCATCGTACATCGGATTGGCAAAGTCGCGCGCCTTGTTCGCGTTCACCGTCTGCAGGTTGTAGCCCTCGATGGGCGCCACATCGCCGGCCCCCGGTGCGGATGCCCCCGGGAAGCCGCTCTCGCTGAACTCCACATTCGACCCGTGGCGGAAGGTCACGCTCTGCGACGAGGTCATCGCCGGCATGCGAGCCAATTTGCCACTGGAAGAAAGAGAAAAAATATAATGATATATTATATTGTAATATCAGAACATTTTTTTGTTGCATACTTTTTGAATACCAAAATTCCTTTAATTTTTTCTACCCTATGTATTTAGATAATTTCACAAAAAAAAACATGTTCCCGTAAAATCGATATGGCCATGTAAATTTCAGGTCAAAACCCATATCGTTTTTACATGAAATACTCTTTTCGACCAGGTCAAATTTATCTGGCCGCATATCAAATTGAAATGTATCTTAAATAATGTAAAATCGATATGGCCATGTTAATTTCAGATGAAAACCCAAATCGTTCTTACATGAAATACTCTTTACAACCAGGTCAAATTTACCTGGTCATATATCAAATTGAAATTGAACTTAAATAATGTAAAATCGATCTACGTTTGATATAGATTAGATAGATTACAGATACTTACAAAGGTCTCTTCCGGATGACGTACCAGGCGCCGGCGGCGGCCATCATCACCAGCAGGATGACCATGATGGGCACCACGACGGCGGTGACATTGGCGCCCCCATGACCAAAGGCTCCGGTGGTGCTCGTCTCGCAGTGCTCGCCCCGGAACTCGGCCAAACAGTCGCAGACGAGCTCACCCTGGGCATCCTCCTTGCAGAGCCCGCCGTTCTGGCAGGGACAAATCCTCGGCGCCGGACGCGGATGCTCGGCGGCGGCATTACAGATCACCTCGGCGGTGCTGCGATGCGAGGGCGGCGGACCGGAGGCGTCGGGACAGGCGCACCGATGGCCGCCGGGCACCAGGAGGCAGAGGTGCGAGCAGGTGGAGTTGTCGCACGGATTGGGCAGCGAGGTGTTGTACCGCTTGTCGTGGTAGACCTTCAGGCCGGACGGATTGACGAGGTTGCGATGCAGCACCACCTGCACTCCGCGCCCGAACTTATCCTGGCGCACCAGCTCCCCGGTGTCGCGTGTCATCCAGAACATGTTGGATTCGAAGAGATCGAGGGAAACGGGATGCCTCAGCTGGTCACCCTTCACAATGGCCTTGCGACGCGAACCATCGGCCCGCATCGATTCAATGGCATTCAGCTTGGTGTCCACCCAGTAGATGATGTGATCCTGCGAGTAATCGATGGTCAGGCCGGCGGGATGACGAATCTGCTCGGTGATCAGCGGTCGCCGCTTGGACCCATCCATCCAGGAGACCTCTATCTTGGGCGCGGAGCCCGCATCCGACCAGTAGATCCTGCCCAGCTGTGGATTAACCGCTATCGAAGTGGGCACCTCCAGACCGGCATTCACAATCGACCTGCGATACCTTCCATCCGTCTTGGCCACCATCACTCGACCACGCGGCTTCGAGCCCGTCCTGTCCATTTCCGTCCAGTAGAGATTCGAGGCCAGCCAATCGACGGCCACGGCGGTGGGTTTCGATCCTCCCTTCATGTTCAGATCCTGGGCAAAGCCAATCTTGGCCCTGCCATCGATGGCATTCACCATGTACGAACGCTTGATCGTCTTGTCATAGCTATCCGCCCAAAAGACGATCTGCTGCTGGGCATCGTAGTCCAGTGCCTCGATCCGCTTCTCCTCCGCAATCACATCGAATTCCTCGCGTTTCTGGAGGTCCAAACCTCGGATCTCCTGACCGTTGGCAAATACCAAAATGACATCCTCCTTTTCGGCACGACAAACGCCACTCGAGCCGTCGGTCAGATGGAAACCCTCGCGGCAACTGCACGAGTAGGTGCCATTGAGATTGTGACACTGATGCGAACACGTGTGCTGTCGCGTGAGGCACTCGTCCACGTCGGAGCACTTCTTCTTGTTGTCGCCGGCTATGATGTAGCCGGGATAGCAGGTGCATATGTACCCACCGTCGGTGAGATTGTGGCAGTGATGCTGACACCCACCGCGATTCTGTTCGGAGCAGCTGCTCGTGTGGTGGCAGCCCAACTCATCGCTGGCATCGCCACAATCGTCGGAGAAGTCGCACACCTGCGAGCGTTCGATGCAGTGCTTGTTGGCGCACTGGTACTGGGTGTACAGATCGCAGGGCTTCTGTTTGCTGGCACACAGGGTCATGTTGTTCTCATCACTGCCATCGCCGCAGTTGTCCACACCATCGCAGATTTGATAGCGAGCCACGCATCGATGATTGGAGCACTGGAATCGCCGCAGGGTATCGCAATTGAAGTCACTGCAAACGCTGGGATCCTCGTCGCTGCCATCACCGCAATCATCTGTGCCGTCACAGAGGTCCGACAGCGAGACGCACAGGTTGTTGTTGCACTGGAAACGCGACTCGGGACAGTAGCGACCGCCCGGGAAGCGCGGCGGACAGCCCACCTCGTCGGACATGTCGCGGCAATCGCGATCGCCGTCGCAACGGAAGTAGGAGGCTATGCAATGACCGGAAGCGCACTGGAAGGTGCCGTTTTTGCACTGATAGCCCTCGCAGTGCATCTCGTCCGAGTTGTCGCCGCAGTCGTCCTCATGATCGCACTGCCACCGGGAGGAGATGCACTTGCCGTTGCCGCAGCGGAACTCCGATTCGGAGCACTCCCGATAGCGACCCTTGCAGACAGCCTCGTTCTCATCGCTAGCATCGCCACAATCGTCCGCAAAGTCACACATCCATTGCCTGTTTTGGGTTAAGCATTGGGAATTAGCAAAGGAAAGTTAAAAAGACTTTGAGGATTAGTCAAACACTCACTTGGGTATGCATCGGTTGTTGCCGCACTTGAAGTCCGTCTCGGGATTACACTTGGGGCAGTTCTCTGGCAGCTCGTCGCTGTTGTCCCGACAATCGTCCTTGCCGTCGCAGAACAGCCACTTGGGAATGCAGCGGTAGTTCGACTGACCAGGGCATCTCTGCCAGCCGGTGGTGCAGTTGCGCTGGCGGCACATGTACGCCGGCTCATCGGAATCATCGCCGCAATCGTTGTCGAAATCGCACATCCACAGTTGCGGAATGCAGCGGCCATTCTTGCAGGCAAACTCCGTCTTGGGATCGCAGGTGCGCTTGACTGAGAAAGAGAAGAGAGATCATTAGGTATTGAAAACGCTCCGCCCCACGTTGGGCGCCAAAAGGTTACTTTCAACTTGTTTAACAATGCAGTCTTATTCTGATGCTTAGTTCGTTTAAATTTTATAATTTTAAGAAACTTTATGATTTTATAAGAGAAAAGAGATCATTAGGTATTGAAAATGCTCCGCCCCACGTTGGGCGCCAAAAAAGTTACTATTAACTTCGACATATTATGTTGCTTAGTTAGTTTACATTTTATAATTTTAAGAAACTATGTGATACTATGAGAGAAAGGAGATCATTAGGTATTGAATACACTCAGCCCCACGTTGGGCGCCAAAAAAGTTACTCGTAACTTGTTCAACAAGACAGACTAGTTATGATGCTTAGTTAGTTTACATCTTTTAATTTTAAGAAATACTCACAGCACACGGCGGGGTCCTCGTCGCTGCCATCCTTGCAGTCGGCATCGCCATCGCAGCGCCAGCTGTCCAGGATGCACCTACCACTGGATTTGCACTTGAAATCGGACAGCGGGCAGGGTAGATCGCAATTCTGTTCGTCGCTACGATCACCGCAGTCGTCCACGCCATCGCAAATGGTCGCCGAGGGTGTGCAGTTGGTATTCTTGCACTGGAACGTTCCGGCCCGGCAGTGTCGCGCGGCACAGGTGGCTGGCTCATCGCTGCCATCCTTGCAGTCCTTCTCCCCGTCGCACTTCCAGAACCACGGTATGCACTTCTCATCCCGACCGCCGCACAAATGCTGCCCGGCCGTGCAATTGGCCACGCAAGTCTTCATGTCCCGGGCCAAGTAGAACTGATTGGGACAGGCGCACTTGAAGATCGGAGCTCCCTCCTCGATATAGCCCTCGATATTCAGGTACGTGGACTCCGGCGGTGGAGCTATCAGGCAGAGATGCGAGCAACCGCCGTTGTTGGTGCCACAGGGATTGGTGTAGGGCAGTTGCCTCAGCGGATGATTGATGTGCAGGTCGTAGGGACGATGGGTGGTATTCCTCAGCACCGTGTAGTTGGCACCATGGAACTTGTTGGCCCGCACAATGGCCTTCAGATTCCAGTCACTCCAGTAGATGTAGTCGTCGAAGAGACTCAGTGCAAACACATGAGGCACCTTGCTGCCAGAGAGCACCGTATGCCGATGCCTGCCCTCCAAATCAGCATAGGCTATGTAGTCCAAGTGGGCGTCCGCCCAGTAAATACGATCCGTGAAGTAGTCAATGGACAGGGCATTCGGCCAGGCGATACCGTCGTTCCAGTTCAGGATCCTCGAGAAGTTCGAACCATCCATGCCCATTTTGGCAATGTAGGCTTGCAGATGCCAGGAGGTGAAGTACAGATAACCGATGCCAGGATGCACGACAATGGCACGCGGATCAACGACACCACTCCTCAGGGTCTTGCGTTTGGTTCCATCCAGTTCGGAAACATCCAGGTTCTTGGAGTGCCTGTCCAACCAGTAGAGCTTGCGACCCACCCAATCGATGGCGATGCCCTCCAGTCCATGGGAATCGTGCCTGATCACAGCCTCCCGCTCCGGCGGCATCTCGTCATCTGCCTCCCCATACTTGGCCCGGAATATCGTCTTGGCCGTCACGTCGCAGAAGTACATGTACTCCTCGCGAATGTCAAAGTCCAGGGCCACCACATTCATCAGATCCTGGTGCATCAAATTGTACTGATGTCCATCCACCGACATATTTCGCACATAGTACTTGTTGGTGAAGATCAGCCAGGGTGGTATCTTGTCCTTTCGCTTGCACGTGTGCTCATCGTTCTGCCGCTCGTAGTAGGTCTCATCGCACTTGCAGTAGAATCCACCCGGGGTGTTCGAACAGTGCTGGGAACAGGCGCCCGGCTGCTCCAGGCACTCGTCCACATCCGCACATGCCTTGCCGTCGGCCAGAAGTCTGTAAGGGATGATGGGTTAATGAACTATGTGACTAGGATAATATTAATAATAAATAAATTGTACATTTTTTTTTTTTTTTTGAATTAGTGATTTGACTTGATCCGTTTTTAACATAAATGTGAGGATTCTAGCGAACTCAAGGTCATAGTTGGTTATAAATAACTTAACAATTTATCGTTTAAATAAATTGTAAAAAAAAAAAACTAAAATAAAAAAAAAAAAAAAACTTCCTTTCCCAGTCACAACTCACTTGTAGCCCTCATTGCAGTCACAGTAGTAGCCCGTCAGCGTGTCCACGCACTTGTGGCCGCACTGATTGATCTCCACCTTGGCGCACTCGTCCACGTTGCAGTGGGCCGGCTCATCGGACTCGTCGGCACAGTCGGGATACTTGTTGCACACCAGATTGTAGTCGATGCACTGGCCATTCGTACAGGCGAACTGTCCCTGCGGACAGGTGATGTTCTCCTTGGCGCAGCCCACCTCGTCCGAGTGATCGCCGCAGTCGTCCTCGCCATCGCACCTCGACTGGTTGCGGATGCACTTGAAGTTCTGGCAGGTGAACTCCTGGGCCGAGCAGGTCTTGTACTTGGAGTTGCAGAACTTGCCCTCGTCGGTGCCGTCGCCGCAATCGTTGTCATGGTCGCAGATCCATCCCTAAAAAGTATTTTTTTTTAAATATTTTCCAAGGGGTAGAGTCTTTTTTAACCCACCTTATTGATGCAGCGTCCGTTGCCGCAGGTGAACATGTCCTCGCCACAGGGTTGCTGCGTAGCACAGTTGTGCAGGGTGGTGTTCTCGTCGGCTCCATCTACACAATCCGGATCTCCGTCGCAGATCCATTTTTTGGGGATGCACTGGGCTCGCTGCCAGGACTTGTTCTCCACGCAGGTGAATTCCGTTTCCTCATCACACTTTCGGTCATCTGGGGGTTAAGTAAGGGGTTGATGGTTAATTTAATTTAACTTTTTTTATTTTATATGCCAGTCACATTGAGTTGATATTATTAATTTTCCTCACATACTTAATTACTAACATCAAATATTTTGTAGTTTTCTAATTACTATTATATTATTATTTTATTTTTTTTTGAAGACAGGTCTTGAAAGGTAGTAAAGGAAGTATTCACTGCACTAGAGCTACAAATATTTTGTAGTTTTCTAATTACTATTATATTATTTTTATTTTTTTTTATTTTTTTTTCTTTTTAAGACAGAGGTTTTGAAAAGGGTTAAAGGAAGTACTCACTGCACTACAACTACAAATATTTTGTAGTTTTCTAATTACTATTTATTTTATTTTATTATTTTTTTTTTTTGTAAGTCAGAGGTCATAAAAAGAAGTGTTCAAAAGTACTCACTGCACTGATGCCGGTTGTCCTCGTCACTGTTGTCCAGGCAATCGTTGTCACCGTCGCAAATGTAGATTCTGGGTATGCAGTTGCCATTGTCGCAGGTGAAGAGATCCCCGAAGCAAGTGCGTCCTTCGGACTTGCAGTAATCTGGTGGCTCGTCGGCGCCATCGCCGCAATCATCGTCGCCATCGCAGTACCAGGTGGCCGGAATGCATCGGTGGTTGGGGCAGCGGAAGCTGTTCGTGGGACAAGTTCTCTGACCACAATGCAGGGGATCCTCGTCGGAGTTGTCGCCGCAATCGTTGTCGCCATCGCACAGCCAATAGGGCTCCACACAGATATTCGTCTTCTCGCACTTGAGATGATTCGCCGGACAGGTGGTGTTCATGGGACACCTCTCGTGCGTCTCGTCCGAGGTGGCATTGTCCTTGCAATCGTTCACCCCATTGCACACCTGGGCCTGGGGAATACACCTGCCATTGCCGCAGGTGAACTCACCATCGACGCAGGGCGGATAGGTGCAGCCCAGCTCATCGGAGCCATCCTTGCAATCGTTCTCGTGATCGCACTTCCAAGACTTGAAAATACACCGACCATTGTTGCAACGGAACTCATTCGGCGAGCAGGAGTGATAGGCACAGTAGTTGGGATCCTCATCGGAATTATCCCCACAGTCGTCGTCGCCATCGCAGGACCACATCCTCGAAATGCACCTGCCATTCTTGCAGTAGAACTTGCTGGCCTCGCACGTATTATTCCTCGGTGCACACATCCTTCCCTCGTTCACCACCTTCGTATTATCATCGCATTTGCACTCGGCCTTGCCATTCGGCGCCGGGTGACAACTCTGGGCACATCCCCCATTGTTGATCCTGCACGGATTCACATTGCACTTCTGCCGATCCGCACTGTAGATGCGAATGTCTCGCGGCGAATCCTCCAGTCGCTTCACCATCTCCACCATATTCGCACCCGTGTGCTTCTCCGCCCGGTAGACACCGCGCAGCTGGAGATCCGTCCAGTAGATGTAGTTACGGAACACGGTGATCGCGAAGGGATATATGGTGGCGGCCACCAGGAGCTCCCTGTTCTGACCATCCAAATCGGATCGCTCGATCTTCTCCCTCACCGCATCCGTCCAATACAACCTCCTCTCATCGTAATCGATGGCCAGGCCACTGGGCTGCGACAGGTCCTTATCCACGATCGCTCTCTTCAGAGATCCCGCCATCGTCGTGCGGAATATCTTGCCAGAGGTTCCGAATCTTCCCCAATCCGTGAAGAACAGCGTTCCATTGCAGGGATCCAGGACAATCGCTCGGGGACGCTCCACCCGGGCAATCATCACCAGTTCACTGCCATCCAGATTCATCGCATAGATCGAGTTGTTCGAGCTGTCCGTCCAATAGATCTTCGACTGCGTCCAATCGTACGCAATGCCCTCGGGATTGATGCCCTTGTTCAGCACCACCGTGATGTCATCGTGTCCCGGCTTATTCGCCTTCGTATAGGCGATCTTGGCCCATGGGCGAATCTGCGTATACAACATTCGATTGTCCGCGAAATCAAAGTCCAGACCCACGACATTCGTGAGATTAGTCAGCGGGGTAAAAGGCACCTCCGTGGAATGGGGATCGAGGTTAACGGCTCGAATTTCGGTTCGTGTGGCAAAGACCAGATACTCGTTGACCACCTCGCACTTTCGCTCGTCGGCACTCAGCTTACCCGTCGCACACTCGCAACGGAAATTCCTGCCCGATGGACCGGTGGCTCCCCCTTCGGGTGGGAAACTGAAGCACAACTGATCGCAGCCGCCGTTGCCCAAGTGGGCACAAGGATTGGTATCGTCCTGCGGCTGATTGTTGATATTGTAGATCGCAATGTCCCTCAGCTTCTCCAGATTCGTCCTCACCCTGGTGGCCGTCTCATTAGCACTGTGCTTGGAGGCCTTGAACACGGTCATCAGGTTCCTGTCCACCCAGTACACGTCGTTCAGATAGACAGCGATGCCCATGGGATTGGGCAGATCCCTCCGAATGACCTTGCGATTGGCCCCATTAAAGGAGATCTTCTGGATGGTGTCCAGTTTCGAGTCCACCCAGTAGATGTCATGCGTCTGCATATCGATGGTTAGATCGCGTGGCAACGAGATCCCCGACGTCACCAAAGGCGTCCACTTGCTTCCGTCCAGCAGAGCTTTCCCAATCCTCGGATGCTGACCATAGTCGATCCAGTAGAGCAGCCTCTTCACGGGATTCACCGCGAGTTCACGCGGTGCATCCGTGGTGGTCTTGACCAACACCTTCCTATTGCTACCGTCCAGCCAGCAGACCTCCACGTAATTCTCATGCGGATAGACATTGGTAAAGTACATATTACCGGCCACCCAATCGATGGTCAGTCCCCGGATGCCATTGCTTCCGATCCCATCCTTGACCACATGCTGCAGATCGGTGCCATTGGGTCGCGACCTGAAGATGCCATTCCAGTAGCCCCGATTGTATTCCGCCCAGTAGATCCATTGCTCCCGATACATGACGTCCACGTGGAGGATGTGATGACCAGGTCCGCTCACCGGAACCATGGCCTCTGCACTGTCACTTAAGCTATATCCCCTGATCATGTCCAGCTGGGAGACGACCGCGAAGGTCTTGTAGGCCACGCAATTGATCTCGTTCTCCTTGCGATAACCAATGCCGCAGGAGCAGGTCCTCGTAGCTCCCGATCCCGGAATGCAGAGATGCTTGCAGCCGCCGTTGTTCGTCTGGCAGGGATGCTGCATCAAAGCGCGCTTCTTGTAGATCATCATCGATCTCAAATCCGATTCATTATCCACAATTGTCTTGGGATTATCGCCATGCGGCAGATCGATTCGCACAATCCGCTCGTACAAGGGATCCAAATAGTATAGTCGGTGATCCAGGATGCCCAGACTCCTCGGCTTGGCCATCGGATGCGAGTCCTTCATCACAATCAGCGTGTGATCAGCTCCGTTATAATCCATCGAACCAATCACCGCCGGATTGCTGGCACTGTAGTAGAGCATCTTCTTCTCCGTGTCCACGGCCAGCGATTCGGGATGGGCAAAGTCCTGGAAGACCACAATGGGGTTCTGCCCATTCATGTCCACCCTGCCGATCTTGATGGGCACCTCCAGCACGCCCTCGTCGATCCAGAAGAGCTTGCCGTCGGTGGGATCGAGCACTATTTGCTTGGGTCGCGACACCGAGTTGGCATAACCATCGTTGGCTAGGATGATTGTCCGGTACTTTTGCTTTCCATCCACTCGCACTGCCTCGATATTACTGGCCACCCGGTTGCCAATGTAGAGATTCCGACCCAACCAATCGAAGGCAATGGTGTAGGGTGCTCCGACAATGCCGCTTTCGGTGCCCAGGAAGAGGGTCTTGTTGCCACCTCCGTATGGTGTCGTATAGATAGTGCAATTCTCGTCATCATCCTCCCTGCCCTGCACCCAATAGAGGGTCTCTCCCTTGCGATCAAAGTCCAGGCCAGTGCTGCTCTCGATTCCAATCACCGGAGCCAAGGCTCCTGCCCTCGCATCGCCACCATTCAGCGGAAGATCCACTATCTGCGTGCCCTTGACGACCATCAGGAAGGGATTCTCCTCCTCGATGCAGCGACCCTCGCTGAGCAGCTTGAAGCCCGGCTTGCACTTGCACGAGTAGCCCTCCGAGGCGCTGGGACTCAGCAGACACAGATGCTGGCAGCGTGCTGAGGCACAGGGATTCGGGGTCATCGGCTGCAGGGAGGCATGATGCACGTGGATGGACAGCGGTTGGCTAATCAGGTGCGAAACCACCGTCTGATTCTTGCCCCTAAACTTATTCGCCGAGAGAACCCGATTCAATTGCCTGTCCGTCCAGTACAGGGTATCCTCGAAGAGGGACAGCGAGTGCGGATGCAGGAGGTAGTGACTGCTGGCCAAAACCTGCTGTCTCCCGGTTCCATTGTAGTAGCAAAAGTCTATAAAGTCCAGCTTGGAATCCGCAAAGTAAACCCGCTTGGTGGCTATGTCCAGGGTCAAACCATTGGGCCAATAGATCTTCGTATTGATGATCGTCTTCCTCATCGTTCCATCCATGCCGATCCGCTCCACCCGCGGATTCTCACCCCAGTCCGTCCAGAAGATCCATCTTGCCCCGGGACTCGGATCGATGCACATGCCTCTGGGCTGAGTGATGTTCTCTCTAACAAGAACCAATCGATTCGAACCATTCTCCGCCGACACCTCGATCGTGTTCAGCTTGCTGTCCAGCCAGTAGAGATTCTGGGCTATCCAATCGTAGGCCAGTCCCTCCACCAGATCCAATCCCGTGTTGATAATCTCCTGCGGTTCCATTCCCCTATCCAATCGCGAGATCTTCTTCAGCTTCATGTCGCTCCAGAAAATGGTGCCCGTGTGCATGTTCGAAGCGGTGGCCACCACATTCTCCACTATAATGGGCACCCTTTCCAGTCCCTGTTCCTTGAGATCGGCCACTAGGATAGAATGCCTATTGGAGATGATCAGGAAGGCGGCGGTGTGATTGACTGCCTTGCAGGTGTGCTTATTGGGCTCCAAAATGTAACCCTCTTGGCAGGAACAGAAGTACGAGCCCTTGGTGTTCGTACACTGTTGAGAACAGAGACCCGGGGGATCGCATTCATTAGTGTCTATACAGGTATAGCCATCTTCTCCGATCTCCGAACCAGGTGGACAGATGCACAGAGCTCCATTCGGGGTCTTCTGACAGAAACTGGAGCACTGACCCGCCTGATGTTCGCACTCGGCGAGGTCGCAACCTTCACCCTCATCGGAACCATTGGGACAATCGGCGGTGTCATCGCAAACGGAGGTTATGTTCACGCATCTCTCCGAGACCCCGGGACATTGCCACTGACCGTGGGGACACTTGAAGGGCGGCGGAACACAGGCATGCTCGGCACCCTCATCCGAGTTATCACCACAATCGTCCTTGCCGTCGCAAATGTAGGCCTTGAACACACAGTTCGTGTTGTTGCACTTGAAGAAGTTCTGGGCACAGGTGATCTGACCGCAGTCCTGCTCATCCGAATGATCCGAGCAATCATTCGAGCCATCACAATGCCAGGCGATGGGTATACAGAAGCCAGTAGACTTGCAGCGGAAGTGCTTCTCGAGATTACACTGATTCGGGCCCATGGGCGGGCAGCCCACCTCGTCGGAGCCATCGTTGCAGTCCGGTATGCCATCGCATTTGTACGACTCCTCGACGCACTGCCGCAGATCGGCGCACTTGAACTGATTGGCCAGACAGGAGATCGGCGGACAGTCCTTCTCGTCCTGCTTGTCGAAGCAATCGTCGTCGCCGTCGCACACCCAACTCTGCGGTATGCAGTGACCCGTCCGCGGACACGTGAACTGGAAGTAGGCGCAGGTCTTCTCGGCACAAAAGTCACCCTCATCGCTGCTATCCCCACAATCGTTCTCGCTGTCGCACTTCCACATATTCGGAATGCATCGCCCATTGGCGCAGGCGAACTGCGAGGTGCCGCAGGTCACGTTGCCGCATTCCTGCTCGTCCGAGTTGTCGCCACAGTCGTTCTCCTGGTCGCAGCGGAAGTTCTGCGGAATGCAGCGGCCCGATCGGCACTGGAACTCGTTCGATCCGCAGGTGGGTTCTGTGTGGGGGGAAAGCACAGGAGGATTTAGTAGGTAAGTTCAAGAGAATACAATAAAATTGACCAATGAAGATAGTTCACTAACTATAAAAACTAGTACTTTAACAATGAAAATATTCGTCCTTGTATTTCTTTTTGCTTTGCGTTCTGTCATATAGTTAAACCACTATTAAAATAGTTACTATAGCTTACGGGATGTGTGTATTTAGTTTTTGTACCTTGAAACCATTTTAAATAGTGGTTTTACTATGAACAATACGTTACCCTAACGTAACTTCTTTAAAATAAAAGTATGCAGCAGTAATTTTACAAATCTTCTGCGTTGCCTTATTTATGATTCCCAACTGGGTCTAGCCCTTCATGAACCAAGCACAAGTCAGATTCTGAGTCAGTCCTAATGACTTCAAAAAATTACTTCAAAACTTATTTTCTGTCTATTAATTAAGTCTTCTATTAAGTCTTTAATATAATTCTTTACTTTATAAGTTGTAGGACGAAGTCACTTTTGGAAAAGGTAATTGGACAACTTTGGACAAATTACTTTGCTGCAGAGAAATAACTATAAATACTTGTATATGCACTATAAAAATAGTAAGTTAACTGCAATTTATGGTTTGGGCACATTCAATAATTTTTTACAGTTGCGTAACTATTTTTTATAGTCACCCTTACGTTTAAGTATTACGTAAGAGTAACTATTTACTTGGTAGAATTGACAATTATAACAGTTAATTTTACCAAGTGTTTTTTATACTATATAAACTCACTCGTGCAGTTCTGCTCCTCATCGCTGTTGTCCAGGCAGTCGTCGTCGCCATCGCAGACCCACGACTTGGGAATGCACCGCTGGTTGTTGCACGTGAAGTCCCAGGAGTTCGGGCACGGCTGCACCGGCGGCTCGGCACTCGGATCGGGGATGCAGCTCATCTGATCCTCGGCCAGCCGCTCGCCATAGGGACACGAGCACCGCGACTGCAGGCGACCAAAGGAGGGTGTACCTCCATTCGTTGTAGCATTCCCTCCTCCAATCGGAACCGCAAAGCAGATCTTCTGGCATCCCCCGTTGTTCCGGTGACAGGGTTGCGTCTCCGCGATCCTCTGAACCTCGTGACTGTACACCTTAACCCCATACAGCCTGTTGGTCTGCGGCTCCCTCACCATCATCTCCTCCTGCTCGCCCGTCAGCTTGTGCAGCCTGATAATGGCATCCAATCGCCAGTCCGTAATATACATCCAATCGTTGTGGATGACAATCGAGAAGGGATGTCGCACCAGTCGCGAGTTCACTGTCTTGATGTCCGTGCCATCCAAATTGGCATGTTGAACATGGTCTAGCAAGGCATCGCACCAGTAAACCCTATCCTCCTTGAAGTCAATAGACAGACCATTGGGCCATCCCAAAGTGACGTTCTTGAAGACCAACAGACCACTGCCATCGGTGTTTGCCCGCGTGATATTCGCCGGTCGATCCCATTCGGAGAAGAAGATGAAGCCGCGATTAGGGTGGACCACAATGGCCCTTGGACGTTTCAAATTCTTCAGCAGAGTCCTGCGATGAGTGACATTCCTCGTGGACAAGACATTCAAGGTGCCCTTGCGTGAATCGATGTAGTAGAGATTCTTAGAGGCCCAATCGACAGCCAGTCCCTCGACGCCCTCATTTTGGGAGGCCAAAACAATCTCGCGACCTGTTCCATTTCGATGCACCCTATAGATCACATCCTGCAGAACGTCCGAGTAGTAGATGAACTCATCGCGGGCATCGAAATCCAGGCCAACGAAACGAGCTCGGCGGGAAACCACTGGCATAATGGCATCGCTGAAGCCCTCGATCACGGGCTCTAATACTTTGCCCTTGATAAATCGCTGTTGCGAGTACATGAGGAACTCGCTAACCGGTTTGCAAAGCTTCAAGTCCGTCTCCAGTTGATAGCCCGTCGAGCAGGCGCAACGGAAACCCAATCCCGTGGGAGCTCCCTTGACCGCGGTGACGATGCACATATGATTGCAGCCACCATTGTTATTGCCACATGGATTCGAGACCCTCGGTTGACTCAGTGCATGCACCGCAATGATGCCTTTGGGCTCCCGAATGTCCTTGGACTTGTGGGTCACCTGAATGGAGGTGGGACCCTCGAACTTGTCCACCGACATGATGCCCTGCTTGGTGGCATCCGTCCAGTAGATGCGGTTTTCGAACAGAGCGAGTCGCGAGGGACTAGGCACTTGCTGTCCTCGAAGGACCATAACCCTATGACCACCCTCATAGTCTACCGACTCAATATAATCCAGCAGGGAGTCGCACCAGAAGACGCGCTTGGCAATGATGTCCACCGTCACGCCGCTCGCCTTGTAGGCAGCCTCCGAGACAATCGAACGGGCATGGGTTCCATCCATGTGGGCACGGAGCACTTGACCACCATCCGCCACGAACATCAGACCAGCCGTGGGATCCAAAGCGAGGTCGGCGGGCGAGGTGAGGTTTGAACCTAGGACCACGGCATGCCATTGACCACTCAGCTCGAAGACATCGATCTTCTGACCCACCAAATCGGCCACATATATCTTATCGCCCACCCAATCGACGGCCAGAGCTACGGGAGCCCAGGTTCCGGGTAGCGTTTGATCGAATGGCGAGACAGCCTTGTTCTGTGCATCCAGAGGCAGAGATTGAACCTTCCTTGTCTTGATGTCCGACCAGTAGAGCGTATTCCTCGCATAATGGAAGGTCACTCCGGCCGCAGCGGTGGCATTGGCCAGTACCATAGGTTCACTGCCATGCGGCTTCATTTGCATTATGGCACGATCGTGGGCGAAGATCAGCTGCAGGTTATTCGCATCCGGGGCAATGCACTTGGAGTCGTTGATCAGCGTGTAGCCCTGGGCACACTGGCAGGTGTACGAGCCCAGGGTGTTCGTGCACAGCTGGTCGCAGTGACCCCACTCGGCGCACTCGTCGAGGTCCACACAAGTTCGGTTGTCCGGGGCCAGCGATTGACCAGGTTTGCAGTAGCACACGCCTCCGGTCAGCGAGGGTCCGCACTTGAACTCACAACTCAGAGCTGGGCAAGAGGCAATCGCTGGAAGTGGTAGGGGAAAATAGTATCAGTTGAAATAGGTTACATTTAAAAATTTTTTTTTTTATTTATTTATTTTTTTTTTTAAGAAATCCTAGTTTTTGGCTGGCAAATGAATTTTTAATTTTAAAATATAATAGTATCATTTAAAAAAGGTTACCTTTTTGTTTATTCATTTTTTTTTAAATTTTTTTTTTTTTTTTTTTATGAAGTTCTAGTTTTTGGCTGTTTTACAGAGATCTAAATTACAAAGAAAAGAATTTTTGAATTTAAAAAGATTAAATGTAAAATAAGAAAAATCATGGGGAAATTTAAGAAGATAATATAGTAAGACCAAAAATCGAAAAATGAATTCCTATATGCACAATAGCTTCGAAGTTCCTGAGAATATTTGCTAGTAGAGGATCGGCTTTCCCCTGAGGAATAGATACTCACAACAGTTGGTCTCCTCGTCGCTACCATCCTCGCAGTCCCGCTTGCCGTCGCACAGTTGGGACTTCAGGATGCACTTGGGTGTTCCGCTGGCGCCTCCTCGTGGACAGAGGTGCTTGTTGTCCGGACAGGCGATGGCCGTGCAGTTGGCCTCGTCGCTCTTGTCGGCGCAGTCGTGGTAGCCATCGCAGTGGAAGTTGTACGGAATGCATAGGGCGTTCGAGCACCGGAACTGGGCGTGGTGGCAGGGCGGGAAGTCTAGAGATAAAAAAATTAAATGTATTAGTTAAAACGAGGTAATTAGAAATAAATATATATAGATTATTTTAAATATAGTATATATAACAAATACAGAAGAGGTTTCCCGCGAATTCTTTAGTTTTTTATCACATATCAGTTATATTAGAAAGGCAAGTAAATAATAAAGTTATATTATAAAAAAGTTTTCCCGCGAATTCTTTAGGTTTTTTTAAGAACTTCTTTTTGTTCTTCATTGAATTTAATTTTCCTAATATTATTTAGAAATTTGTTTTGTCAATTCCACTTACTGCATCCCTGTTCGTCGGAATTATCGCCACAGTCGTCGCGGTGGTTGCACTTCAGAGCGGCATCGATGCACTTGTGTCCATTGGCGCAGCGGAACTGGTCGAGGCGACAGGAGACGCCGCTGCAGCCCTCCTCGTCCTTCCCGGTGCGGCAGTCCAGGTAGCCGTCGCAGCGTTTCTCCTTCGGCACACAGGGTCCGGCCAGGCGGGCGCCCTCCGCGGGGGCGGCTCCATTGGGGGCGTTGCAGAAGACGTCCGTGTGCTGGCACTTGCGGTAAGCTGGAAAATTAAAGGAAATTATTTAGAAAATTTAAAAATAAATACATTAGAATTAACAGCAAACCCTAAAGAATATAATAATTATTTAATAACTTATTGATTGTTTTAAAGAAGAAAGAACATCAAAGGCATTTAATATATGCAGAATATAAATCATTAATCTTAGATTAATCCAAGTTAATATTATACCATATTAAAGTGGCTCAATTGCATATTTAATTTATATATTTTGAAGGCCTCCGCCACCCCATTGTTTTGGAATTTTGGCCCAGCACAAGCACCCCCTGAGATAATAATCTGTACATGACTGCACTCAATTAGGCCTCATTTCGTGGCCCTCCATTGTGATTAATTGCATTTGCATCGAGAGTTAAGCTCTTGACCCACAGCCCTTCGTCCATAGAAGTTGTATGGGGCCGAGTCAATGGCTCAATGGGGTTTCCCTGGATACCGATGCCCTGCCCATTGTCCAAGACAGAAGCCCTTTCTCGGTCCATCAGCCAGCCAGCCAGCATTTTAATGGGGCAGGGCCTTAAAAATGGCAGGCCAAAACTATTTGTGCTGCCAAAGACATTAAATTTTGATGCCAGACATTCGGTTGGGGCTCCTGGCTGGGCACGCATGGCGTATACATAATGCATGGCCGCTGTACCAATGTCGGGCGTGATTGTCTGTCCGTTCGTTTGTCCGTTCGTCTGTCCGTTCGTCTGTCCGTTCGTCCATCTACCCCGGATTGTGCACTTGAGTTGTGTGTGTCGGCAGGCAAAAGTGCTATAAATTATCGAGTAGTTGGTTGCAGGACCCTCCTCCCGAAAGCCACACAAAAAAGGGATGTCGCTGGGGAAAAGATGGAGGTCGAGAGTACCCCTTACTATCCAGATTATATAAAATTATTATTTTCAAGATCTCTAGAAATCTTAGGGTCATAAATATAATAATATTAACAATTTTTTTTTATTTTAATTTGCAATCCACTAGCTTAGCATTATGTGTAATCAATCCTGGCCATATAAATTTACAGGGTATCGGGAGGAAACGGAGGGTGTGGACCTGTCAAGGGTTCGGTTAACAAGAAAGAGGTAGCAGGGAAAGTCGTGCATTTGAATGACTAAATTAGAGCGACTGCTGGCGAATCGGGGCTTTAAGAAGATGATATATGTGTGTCTTTGGCGGGGACATATGTTAGTATACAGCAGGGTGAACATGCGATGGGTTAAAAAAAAAATACTAAGTTGGGGTACCCTAATGGAATTCTTTGTTAAAATAGGATGTAGGTACACCCAGAAAAAAAAATGACCTAAAATGTCAAAAAATGGCCTAGAATTTAGGTAAAATTGGCCTAAAACTGGAGCTAAGTCCTTGAATAGCCTAAAATTTAGGATTGTATGACCTAAAATGTTAGGCCATTAATGGCCTAAAATGGGGTAATTTTTGGCCTAGATTTTAGGTAATTGGCTGCCTTAAAATATGAGAAAACCCCTATCAAAAATTTTAGGCTTTCTTTGGCCTAAAAATTTGTACTGAAAAATGTTTCATATTATAAAGTAAATACAGAGAAATTTATAGCTAACTCGAGGTCAATGTCGGCTTAGTCTTCAAGAAGTCGTCATTATTCCAACACACAAAAACGAGCGAAGAGGCTTCACAGTTCAGCAGTGAAATCGCTGTTTTATTCAACGATGGAAGTGGGTTACCATGCAAGCCGCGCTATAACTGGTTGGGAATTATAGCGTCGCTAGAACGGTATCAGAGTTCCGTGCAAATTTATTTAGGTAAAATTCATTAATTTTAAGGCCCACGATGACCTAAAATATTAGGCTATACGGGACCTAAATAGTAGGGCAAATATACCAAAAATTTAAATTTTTAGGCAGTACATGACCTAAAAAGGAACTTTTAGTCCATTTAAAATGTTTTAGGCTATGCATGACCTAAAATGTTGTCCATCATTTTTCTGGGTGTAGATACTGCTTCTTATATTGTTATTATATTACTATAATATTATGCTACGATATGGCTCTTTTAAAATTTAAATAAAAATAAAGTTATTGAAAAGAATAAAGTTTTTTATAAGCAAAATCAAGTTTAATCAACCAACTGCTGTTCTTAATTATAAAGTTCTTAGTTTCTCCCAGGGAGTTTCCACTGTGGGTGCTTTTGGGTTCCAGTTGATCTATGCCTGTTCCCCCTTCCTGGACATCATAAACTTGGCAACGAGTATTTTATGGATATGTCTCCCGCTCCTTGAGCCGCATTCCCTGGCCAGGACTCCAGCTCCATCCTGCAAAGCATTCCCAATCCCCCCGATTAACTCCCGGAACATTAGCGTGGAACTGGGGGCCACAGGACCCCAACGGGAGCATCCCAGTGTGGCAGGGCAAACTTAATTAGTGCAAGTTAAACAAGCCAAGTTGTATAAATATTCCCCGACAGCGCAAAACTTTCTCCAAGCAAAACAATGGAATGCGTATCCTGCGCTGCGTCTGTGTAAGTGTCCTTTCCCTGTCTGTGTGCGAATGGGTGTATATGTGTGTGTGAGTGCAGGTAAAAGCAGTGCAGAAAAATAAATTATATAAAATATACACTTAACAGGTGTGTGGCTGCGAATTAAGTTGGCTTTAAATATTTTAATCTCAATTATGCTGTTTTTCTTAACCTTTTAGCATTTACAATTAATTTTAGAGGTGTTTTTTTTTATAAAATAAATTACAAAGCCGAAAGTTAAGATCTATAACCCATTTTTATTTTTTTATAACGCATACGTCTCGTGGGATATTTGAAATTCCTACTGCTTTAGTTATTTTTAGTCCAATAATTTATCTTTTGATAATTTAAACCTTGTATATAGTAATTTTTGTTGTGTAAAACTATCTGCTTTGTTGGTGCTCCCTGCTGCTTTTCCTATTGACAAAGTGGAGCAGCGGAAGCGAAACTTTGTGAACCTCCAACTCCGTTGATCATAAAAATGTGTCACGCACTCGGGGCAACCCCTCCACTTTCCCCCTGCACACCCCCTCTATAGAGAATTCCCACCCCAACTGTCTGGCATTTAACATGTTCTCCTCTGCTAATCCTTCGACCCCTTGCAATTTGTAGGCGTGGCCATGGCCAAAAGATTTACGCCAAACAATTTGTTGCAAACTCGCTTTCTTTCCCTTCCCTATTTGCACTTTTCCATTGCATTAAAGCCATAACATAATGACAAACGAGGGGCGTGGCCAAATAATAATAATAAAGTTATAATGAAAACTAAATGCACCGCAAAATAGGCGTGTGACCAACATTGTGACTATTTAATGTGTAAAAAATATTATTTTAATCGAACGCAATATTATATCGAAAATAGTAAATATTTCCATAGTTTTATATTTTTTTAAACTCTTTCACTGTTTTTTTTTCACACTTTCCTCCTAACTAATTTTCCACTTGCTTCCGCTTGGCTGCAAAACTTTTGGCCCTAAACTTTAACCAAAAAGCGCGGGGGTTTCTGCATTGTTGTTGGCACTTTATAAACAACACCCACTGCCTTTCGCATTTTTACTCTTTTTTTTTGTTTTTTTTTCTCTTAAACCAAACACTTTCTAATTGGGTTCTCTGGTTCTTTCGCTCGCTGTTTTCTCAGCATTAACTTTTATTGCAAGCCAAGACTTTTATGCGTGTACCAAGGCCAAGAAGAGGGGCTTTTCGGGGGAGGGGTGGTGGTGGTGGGAAGGCTTAAGGGGTGTGTAATTACGCGCGACAAGTGCCACGCCCCCTTCCCTTTCCGCCCTCCGCCCACCGCACAGTCGCGTCACGTTTAGCTGCAGTCAAATAAACGTCAGCTGCAATCGTCGCCACTCAGAGAAACTCGGAGAAAAAGGGGAAAGCTCAAAAGAGAGAGAGAGGGGCGTAGTGGGGAGGGGGCTTGACAGTTTATGAGACAGTTAACAGTGCTGAAAACTTGGCTCTTGAACCGCCAAAAATGGTAACCCACAGAGGACAGCCAAAGGACACGGGTTTCAAGTTAAAAACTAAAGAAAATATACTTTAAAATTGCCATTTAATGAGCTAAAAAATAAGTACATTGTTTTAAATATCTGGATTTTTTAATATACCTTACATAAATCCTAAGTAAACAGTAAAATAAATAAAAATGATTTATTTAATCATAAATTTGTCTCTTTTAGGAGAAATAAATCATTTTTAACTGCGATAGTTATAGTTAAATAAATAAATCTTTCAAAAACCTATAGCCATTTTAATTTTGATTTTTGCGAATAACTCTAAATAATATTAATAACTAGTGATTTGCAAATGTAATATATCATTTTGTAATTACATACTTTAGATAATTTCTTCGAAATATTTGAATATATATTTTCTAGATTTAATTTGTCTTCTTTGTCGTCATCACTGAAGGATGGACAGTTAAATGAAATGAGGTGGCTATAACATTAAGTTCTGCGGACAGGTATTGAAGGGGTGTTTCGAGGGGCCTCTGGTAATGACGGCTTAAGCTCCTCGCTCTCTTTGGTTTTACGCACTTTTTTACGCAGCAATATCTGCCTCATTAGATGCTGCCTGCAATTAAAAGCGAAATGCGGAATGTCCGCCAGGAAAATTCCCCACTAAAACCCCTCGCCCCTTTTTTAGCCGTAAACAAGTAAAAGTGCTTCAGCCTCTATTTATGCTTCAGTTTCAGCTTGTTGACTTGCGACCGCAACGCTGCGAAACGCGAGTGAAAATAGTCGGGTGGAAAATGGGTGGAGTGGGTAGATAAGGTAACTTCCAAGTGTCTTTCCTTTCACAGCAGACGTCTGCTGTTTGTTCTCACAGTTATTAGTTGCTTAGGAGGTGTTCTAATGCCCACAAGTGCTGAAGCATAAAGGCACTGGAAAAAATGATATCATCCAATTTTGTTAAACATTTTTAAGTTAATTGTAGAAGCTGTTGGAAATGAAATTTATATTTTATAAAATACTATTCCAAAAAATAATAAAATACTATTCTAACCTTATAAACTAATGCATTCAATTTCAAAGGAATTTTTTTAGTTTTTTCCCTAATTATGTTTAGATTCTCTTTAAAAAAAAAACATACTAAAATATATTATTTCCCAAATAAAAACTGTACAATTGCTTAGCAACGCTCCAAACTCTAAAAATCTAATTTGCAGACAAACAATCTGTTTTGGGTGACAACCGCAGGCGGATCCCTTGATTTTAATTGCACGCACCTGGGGAAATGTATGCAATTTCCATCGCCATGACTACCTGACTACCTCACTGACTACCTCACTGCCTACCCAGATATCCCTGATATCCTGATAGCTGTGTGTGTGGACTATCTCTGCATCCACTTCCATTTCCACATCCACATCCATCTCCCTGCTCGCACAACACCTGAAGTAATTAAATAGTTGAAATAAGCCCGCTCTAATATTTATATGCCATAAATTAAGCAAACAAAGGCGAACGAAGGCAAACAAACACAGATACACACACACACACACACACATAGGGGGTTCTAAGGGCTGCCACCATGGGCGGGGGTTGGAAAGGGGGGATGTCACCCTGACTGAAGAAGACGACGCGTTGACACGTACGCAAAATAAATTTGTTAAGAACGCAATAAGAGTGAACATTTTGTCGCCATTTAAGCGCGATAAATTATTGTGCAACAAAGTGCGACAGGGACAGGAAAATACATGGCGCGGGCGCAGGGAAAGAGAGGGAATACTCTCGTTTCACGCCAACATCTTATTAAATTAAAATGAAATTTAAACTTGATCTTGTGCCGGCAAAACTTTCAGCGCCAGAAAGGAATGACTATCTAGCCAACTCTTCTACTTTTTGGCATCAGAGTTGCCTATAAAATAGCTGAAAATAGTTTAGCCTAATATTTATTATCAGAAGAGGATATAATATATTACAGTTTTAATAATAAAAACTAATTTTGTTTATGAGACTTTTTGGAAATATTAGACTTTAATTTTTTTAATATTTTCTTTTTTGCAATGTGATAAGAAATTGGTAGTTTTAAAAAGAATTACACATTTAGTTTGTAAAGTAAAGTTAAGATTAGTTATTAAAATACATTTTCGGGTTCTAAATTTTTTTATTTAATATAAATTATAGATTTTTGGTCTTAAAAATTCTCAATAATTTTAAATTAGTAATTAAAACTTGGCTTTCAAGTTAGATAGTTAGATAGCTAACCGATCAGGCCCGTTTCGAGCGGACAAATTGGCCTTCTAGCCGGGTGCTTAGGTGTGCGAGCGGGACGGCCTGTGGCGGTGCGAGGGAGAAGGTGAACGCAGGACAAAGTTGTGGGGCGTTTGTCTAGCCGTTTTCCACATTTTCCCTTGCCCCTCGCTTTCCACCAAATCGGAGTTGGAGTCGTCAAAGCTGCCAGCTGAACTTGCACAAAAGGATGCCGGAAAAGCGGCGGGTGGCGGTAAGGCGGAAAAGTCGGAAAAGCGGGACACTTGGAAATTGGTCGCCTCAAAGATATTTAAATATTTGTTTGCCAGTCGGTGTGTGTGTGTGTGTCTGTATGAGTGTGTGCGGGTGCATAAATCTTAAATAACAAGCAATAAATGCTCTACAAGTCTTGGGCACTTTTCGGCGATTTGCATGGACATGCTGCCATCCTGCTCTGGCCACTATCCCCCTCTCTCTCTTTCTGGCCTTTCTTCTTAGGACTCTCTCGGCAAACTTTTAATCAAAATGTGCGGCTCACAGTCTGCTGGCTGAATGCACTTGAACTTTATGCCAAAAGGAAAGTGCGGGGGAAAAGGCCGAGGAAAGCGGGAAAGGCGGGGAAATCGGGGAAAGCGCCGAAAGAGAGGGCCCGATAAGTCGGAGAAAGAGAGGGAGCTACAAGGCTTTCCACCCATACAAAGTCCAACCGGGCGAGAGCTGTTGAAAATGCATTAAATTCTTTGCTCAACGAGCAGACAACAGACTTTCGAGTTGAGGTGCTGGGAAAGCTGGAAAGGCGGGAAAAGCGGGAAAAGCGGTAGTGAAAAGTGGAAGAATGATGGGCCAAAAAAAGGACGGCCGGTCTGTCAGTGGATTATTAAAGTCCTCAGCGATAAATATTACCCCAGAGTCAAAGGGCCAAAATTAATCGTTGGCCGGAAAAAGAAAAGTCGAAGGAAAGCTAACTGCTGAAAATTAGTCTGCAGAGAGTGGAAAATTTAATATATTTCTTAGTTTCAATAATATACCTTAATTTCTATTAATAATTTTATTTTTTAGGATCCAAAAAACTATCCTTTTTACTCATATATAACCCTAAATTAGGCCTCCACTTTAATTTGAAATAAACATAAACTCAAAGTGAATTTTTATTTTAAAGACTGCTTACTTTTCAACCCAACAGAACTGAACTTCATTTGCGATTCCATCCATGAACCTCTCAACAGAAACAACTTTGGTCGGCCATCATCAATTCCACTAGCTAAAGGGTTAACCCTCTCAGCGCTTTTAACCCCCGTGGCCCACGAAATGGATTTATGGCCCCACATCAAATTGATCCATTTCTGTTCGCCCTGAGTTTTCCTCGCTAATTTGCGGCCTTTACCTTGGGGATTTCACAGATATTTCTCTCCCTTTTCTCTCTCGATATATGTGTATTATGTCTGTAAATATTTCGGGTTTACTTGTACGCTTGTGTAATTTAGTTGAGAAAACAAGAGCTGCGGTCTTCGGTTACATCTCTGTGTTGAAATTTGCATAAATAAAATTGGCATAATAAAATGCAAACATTTTGCTTAGCAAATTGTTACAACACCACCCCGCCGTCGCCCTCTTGAAAGGATTCAAGGATTCCTTTTTGGGGACTTGGGATGAGAAGCTAGTCAATATTTGTGGAGTCAACAAATTTGCATGGAAAGCGGGAAAATGCGAGAAAATGAGAGAAAATGCTCGAAATCCTTGAGATTGAATGGGGTTATCTACTGCTTAGGAATACATAGTGTTTATAGGGTACTCACTGCACTGGGCCTCGTCCGATTTGTCCTCGCAATCCTCGATCATATCGCAACGATAGTGCGGAGGGATGCAATAGGTCTTGTTGAACACATACTGCCCGCAGTTCAGCTGGGGAGTTTCGCATTCCGGTGGGGCTGCAAAATTGGTTAAAAAATTTATTACAAAAGGTATGCAAAAAGTAGTTTTTAAATGGTATTCCCGGTTTTTCACTTTCACATGTCAAGTTAGCTGTCTAAAAGTATGCAACAATATATTTTTTGCACAAAAGTGATATAAGTTTATACAGGGAAACCAGCTATTCTTTATTCACTGCATACTTTTAGATACATATGATTTTAAAAACCTAGCTAAAACCCATATATTGATTAAAGATAGGTGTAAATTTTGAGATGTTTGAGATCCAAAATTATTTATATTTAAAAAACGCATAATTTCTTTTTTTCCAAATTTTCTTGAGTAGATTAAAAACAATTCAAAAATGTTCATTGAGCACTTTCTGCCATAATCAGATATTCGATAGGCACGCGTTCGATTTAATTAATTTCGGAAATTCCTGCGGATAATAGCCGGACTGAAATTCGATTAAGCCATTCAACGAATCGCCACCGCTGAGCTCTTGAATATTTCCTCGGTTTCTTTGGCAACGCGAATGGCACGGCCCACTTAATTACTGTCTATAATTTCATATTTTAATTATGGTCCCCCCCCAGAATTTCCAGCGACTATAGCTATTGGTACTTACGGCACGACTGCATCTCGTCCTCGCCATCGTCGCAGTCCTTTTGGTAATTGCAGACCCAGTGGTGCGAGATGCACTTGCCGTTGTTGCAGCGGAAGGAGTCCGTCGGACACTCGGTATTGATGCCGCCTGTGCTGCCCAAGCTGCCACCTGGAAAATGCGGAGGAAAAGCGGGAAAAGCGTATCAGTACGGAGGGCTCCTTTTCTCGGACTAATTGGCATGTGAACGCCGCTTTGTCATCCGACTTATCAGCAAGTCGGTTCGAAAACATTGCTAACAATCAATGAATGGCCAGTAAACAAACTGAAAAGTTGGCCACGACACTCGGAAATAATATTTATAATAATAATATAATTATAATGATATTTGTTTGTATTTAATATTAGCTTTTTTTCTAAGCAATTTTTTAAATACATTGTTTAGTCCTATATAAAAGAATGATAGTAAAAGCAATTAATTTATTAGAATTTAATAAAATATATAGTTGGAAAAATAAATAAAATATATAAGATATCAGAAGTCGTAACCTCATTTTTATACAATTTTTTAGACAAATAAAATGTATTCATTTAAATCCTATTTCATTATTTTTGAATAACTATTAAAGTTAATCATTGAAGCTAATCAAATGATATACATATTTAACAAGAGAAAACGTATAATTTTCGTAGCTGAGCTTCAAAGAGTGACTTCTTTTTTTTTTGATTCACTTGAATTATAAATGCTTTTCTGCTAATTAACAAGCTGAGAATGCACTTTTTTCGAGTGTGCAAAAAGGAGCTTGGCAAAGGCAAAGGAAGGGGAAGCCTGCTGAAGCTGCAGACAACAAAAGACTGTCATAAAATGGCAGCTGCAAGGATGCGCCTCAACTTTTGTGGCTGCCAAAGCCGCCGCGGCTAATGGCCTTGTCACACACACACATATATACACACACATGAGGGAAAATAGGAGGGAAAACGGGAGGCAGGAAAAACTGCAACAGCAGAGGCCAAGGAAAAAGGAGCAGGCAAGTCAGAACGCGACCGGAAATGCTTAGCTGGGATTTCTTCTCGACGGAGCCAAAATGCCGGCGAATGTGGAGCAGGGGCGGGGGCAAAGGGGGGCCAAAGGGGCACACGGGAGGTCGACTGTTCAGTTTTTGGGGCCAGGGCGCTGACAATGTCATTTGTTTCCGGCTACGTGCACTCTGCACGTGCCCAACTTTTTGCGGCCAAGCGGGAGAAAGTGGAGAAAGGCGCAGTGGAGCATCCCCCCCTCTCCACCTTTTATTTCCCGTATTTTTCGCATTTTTGCCTTTTCGCTTGCACCTGCTCCAGCTGCAGTGCAACTTGCAATGGCGCATCTTCGATGGAAGTTGAAACCGAACTTCAATTAAGCCCGATTCGATGTGAAGTTAACCGAATTGGCACAAACTAAAGCCAAGAATTGAAACCGAATTGAGAGCGAAATGGAATCAGCACAAAGAACGTGTCAAATGAAGACAATAGAAGGCGAAGAAAGAAAAAGCTTTCAAGATAATTGAGAATCTAAAATGATTTCAAACTATGTACATTTGAAGCTTAAGAAGGAAATTTACAAATAATTCAATTTTAAAATATATTTATAATTTAGCTTCCCCTAATAATAATTATAATATTTTATTTAAGCTAATAATACATTTTAAGGGCATTTTAAGAAATGTTTTTTATTATTTCTATCATTTTATTAGATTAAAATGTAGCATACTTTCTTCTTAAACATTTTAAATCAATCAAATTAAATATTAAAGTTGTTTGTTGGCCGCGTAAACACACACATGGCCACACCTTTTCCCCCCTTTCCCCACGTTTTTCCATCCACCTTTGAAATAACCCCGAAAACTTCATGTCTAATTATGCATCTAATTAGTGAGTGCATTCTCCGTTTGGCAATTCATGCCGAAATCATTTTTGCCGCTTCCGCTGCCATAATAAGAGGCAAACCACAGACGACAACCCGAGTTAAGCCCCCCTTGCACCACCGTCCCTGTTTTTCCTGCAATTCATTGCGAGTTTAAGTACGCATGCCTTGCCACAGAATGAAAACGGAGTCATGTTTTATCACGGCGCATAATTCACATTCGCATTTCGGGGGATTCCTCCTATAATTGCGCCATGCGAAACCTTTCATTCATGCATTATGCTGCCCGAATAATAATAATAATAATAATTGGGGAAATGCCAACAGGGCTGCAAAAGCGCTGTGAAATATATGTCAAATTTAGTGCTGAATATTTAAATATTTTCTAAAATATTTCAAGGACTTATCATTGCTGAATATTTAAATATTTTACAAAATATTCAAATATTTGTGTTGGGTATTACATTTTTGATGAACATTCGAAACATGACATTTAAATTTATTTAAAAATACTCTTTATTTGAATAGTTTTTCCACCACTGTCTAAAGAGTTGTACTTGCTGAACATATAAATATTTTACATAATGTTGAAATATTTTTATAAGTTTAACATTACATTTTGATATATTTTTGAAACATGAAATTTAAATTTATAAAAAAATTATATTTATTTCAATACTTTTTAATCGATTTTCAACCACTGTCCAAGGACTTGTCCCGCATCTGTTTGGGGAACTTTTCTTACTTCGTTTGCTCGCCACTTTGTTGTGGAAAAAGCCTCTTGGAATAGTTTTCGGCTGGCAGGAAAACTATTTTGGTGTCCAAGTTAAGAAACGAAATAAAATGAAATAAAAGAAAACAACAAGCTGCCTTTGATGTGCCCGCACAAAAGTTGCTCTACCCGGGAAATGGGGGATAATGACACAGGGCGGCGGGAATTTCCCCCCGATCACCCCGATCCGCACCCAAATCCAACTTCAACTCGGGAAATTCCTGTCCTCCCATCAACCGCGACAACATCAAAATGCACGTTATTAAGTATTATGTTGCCGTTGCTGCTTCTATTTGTTTTTATTGTTATGGGCCATGTTATGGCCATGTCCTGCTCCTTTTCGCCATTCTCCATTCGCCATTCTCCTGCCAACAGCATCAACGGTTTTAAGAGCTTACAAAATATTTTGTAATTTTGTCACGTCTCAACTTTGGCGACGTCACTTAAAATTACATTTAACACAAAAAGCAGGCAAAAAATACCCAAACAAAGGGACCAGAAAGGCCAGGAAATAATGTTTGTCTGCGATTTTCCTTGGCACTTCTACTTTTTGGAGGGGGTAAATCAAAAATAGATGAATGGTTGGCTGGACGAGTAGATGGATGGTTCAGGCATTTCCCACGCGCCCCACAAAAATATAAGAAAAATATTTCATATTTAATATATATATTACATTTTCTCCTAAACGAATTAAAAATAAAATAAACCTTCGGTTACAAACTTTTCTTTTTCTTTAATCCCCCCAAAAGTGTTATATATTTTTAACAAAAATTACAAACACCGATGGATTATCGGGCAAGTGTGTTTTCTAAGTAGATTGAAGAGCTTTTCCCCATCAATTTTGTATTGGGCTTTGAGTAGTTTTTAAACTGATTCGTAATCTTCTTAAGCTTCAGAGAGGTGAAAACAATCGGTTTGGCCACTGGAAATTGTGAATTTTCAGCCACTCGAGCCCTTTTCAGGCTTTTGATTTTTAACTGAACATCCAGCTTAGCCCCAAACATAAAGCTTATAAAGTGACTGAAGCTCTCAACTCCCCCATCGCTTGTGTTGCTGAAACAAGCATAAATCAATGTTTACATTTTGACAGAAGAAAAAATGATTTGGGCCAAATCAAAATGGAAATATGCATTTCTGTTCTAAGTATGTCATGAATAGATGGCTTACTATTATACCACACTGCAGAAAAATGGGTTTACAATTTTTTTAGATTTTTATTTACATAATTATAATAGTTAGGATATTTTTCTCAGCTTGAGTGGGTTTAAAAAATATTTTAAAATAAGAAAACTTCTGAAATAAATACATTATGGCATACAACTTTTTTATACAAATATTAAATCCTATTTTTAGAGTTTTATTTAAATTAGTATAATAGTTGGGATATTTTTCTGGGTGCATCACTGCCCATGACCATGGCTTTAGTGGGTTAAAGAGCAGTCCCCGACTCTGAGGCCACCCGAAAAGTGCAAGCCTTGCATTTGGAATCACCCCATCCGCATCGCTTTCCCTGCCATACATTTATTACCATGAATTTCCATTACTCACTTAAAGAGGGGTAAATCGGGTGGGGGCGTGGCCGCAAATACGGCAGTCAGACAAACGCGTTATGGGAACTGCGGAGCCGAGCTTCCCGACTTCCCTCGACTTCCCTCGCCTCCCTCGAAGATTCATCAATGAATTTATCAGTTTTTATAGGCAATTTATTATTTATTGATGGCTGTGCCACTGGCTAAAAGCGAACCCCAGGGAGTGGGTGGTTTCGTTATGGATATGAATACTACCCGGAGAACGCAGAGTACCCAGTATATCCATCTCCAGTCGCACATCCAGCCACATAGCATACATTTGAGGGCCAGACAATAACTGGCAACAGCTTTTCAAACTCCAAACGATTCTTTCTCTCCCCTTTTTTTCCCCCACTCCTGCTTTTCTTTTCTTCTTTTTTTTTTGGGACTTTTTGAATAATGGCAGGGGCATGTGGAGGGTTTTGAGGCAGTTTGGTCATGTGGAGAGTGCATTTGGCAGTCATAAAGGAAGCGAAGCCAAAAAAGCAGACGAAGCCAAAGAGAATAAAATAATGGCAAGTGAAAAGGCGACCGACGACCATGGGAATGCCCTGATAAAAATGGGTTAATATGCAATATCTTTAAAAATATAATATACAATGAAATATATTATAGCTATTTTAATTTTCAGCTAGGTATTTAATTAAATACCAAAAATACCAGAAATACGAAAAACTAATGGAAAATATATCTGAATAAATATTTGATAAAGTAAAATTAATATTTTTTAAATGTATCCCTTAGCAGATGAACCTTGTTTTGGGATTCAGGAAAAGAAAACTCCCAAGAGCCGCAACATTCAGCCGGAAAACGGAAAATGGAAAATGGCAAGAGTAATGCGAAAGCGATGAAGCCGCGTCATAATGTCCGGCAAATTGTTGCGGGCATTCGTATCGAGCACGTCTCAGTTTACAATGTTTGCCTTTGATTT